TAATGTTTTATTTAATAATTTTTTTTTAATCCGATTTCTCGATCAATCGTAAGAATAATTGATAGATTACTCGATTACTAAAATAGTAGTTTATAACAGCCCTAGTATAAAGTATATCTACTAGAAACTACTGGTGGAATTTATTTTTGTTGGATTTTTATCCATCGAACAGATTCTTAAATGTTTCTTTGGAGTAATTCTTACATCAGCCTTTAAAGATTTAAATATGTCTGACTGTTTCCATTTATCACATTACACATTAATACAACAAAAGATGAACAGGACAAGAATATCTAATCATTCATTTTCTGAAATAAAATAACAGTTTTTGATCAATAACACAGCACAAGAAACATGTTTATATTGCATATATTATTTATTTCTAAACAAAGCTATTTACATGGTTTTGTCAAGCACAGACACTTTTTTAGCCTTCAAGCAGCTTAAAGCATGTTGTTATTTTCACAATTTTGTTTATATAAAAAGTGGCAAATTTGACCTCAGACAGTCCTCAGAAGAGAAAAAAAATCATCTTTAATAGAAGAAGGTGGATTTGTCAACCTGTCAACAATGGATATGGAGCACGAGAGTTGTTGATAGAGATTTTTTGAAAAAAAAAAAAGCTGTCCAGCATTTCTCAGTTCAAAATAAAAATTTTTGAGTTTGTAGATATCTAAATAGACTAGTAGTTTACTTTTACCCCACTGACATTGTTCTTTTTGGCACTCTTCGACTCAAAATTTCTCCAACGTGGTTTATGATTCGCAGAGATTACTTTTGTTGCAACGGGAGCAATAGTATCAATAACTTTCTCAATTTTAAAAATAAAATTGTCCATTAAATCACTCGGAGAAGTACAGGAGTGTGTATCAGTTGAAGGAAAAGCCTGAATAAATTGATCAGCAATAGTTTCTGTACAGAGGTACTGGATGGACATGACAAGTAAGTGGGAATTTCATCCCTCTGCTGGTGCGCCTCCTTCAGCTTCTGCATTTTTATTAATCATGTCCTTATATTTGCTCTTGAAAAATCCAGCCTGACAGGAAAAACAGGAAGGAAAGTAGAATGAAAATTATGTGTGGCAAGATAAATGCTGGAAGATATAGAATAAACATTTAAAGCTGACCTATTATGTTTCCTTGAACAGATTATGATATTTCTATGAACTATGCAAAACTTGGCACAAAATCATTCTTATGCTGCATTCAGACTGAGCATGATTTGAGCGTCAGGGGCGTCTGGTTTACATTCAAAGTTTATTTTACATGTGATGCGCGTCTAGCACTGCGTGGTTAAAGCATTTCGAGTGTCAAGCGACTCCAACACAGCCAATGCTGGAGTTGGAAAATATATTTTACCGTTAGAGCAGAGTGTCAACCAATCAAAGAGACTCTGCTAAGTGACTTAGTGGCATGCAGTTGATATCCTGCCAGGAGATGCAGGCACCACTGTGGGTTATCATCAAACTGGGTCCGGGTGAGACAAAAATAGTGCTAATGGGTACCCTCATCAGCGTCCAGCTGGCTCATGAAACTCACCAACCTCACAAAACCTTTGAATTATCCGGTGAATTCACGGCTTTCTGTAAATAAAGCAAAGACCCTCGACATTTCAGCTGCCATTGTTCAAAGTAACTGGGAGAGGCAAAAAGACAAGAGGGTCCTCCTATTGTGCGTCGTGCCATTACCACCTGTTCCAGCTTTTGTTCAATAAAAACTGAGCACAAAATGTTCAGTAGACATCTAAGCCTCCATTAAGATTGCAGAAGATTTCATGACATATTTTGTTGCCACTCTCAATTCTATGCGTCTTTGTACAAATACAGCAATTGAAAACAACAGCTCGTCCCAAAGTGCATCTACCACAATATTAACAAGCGTCTGCAGCAAAATGTCAAGCGTCTGACTTCAAAGTGCACATGTCAGATGTGTGCATGCAAAACGCGTTTGGTCTAAACGCAGCATTCGATAATGAGTGTTCAGTCTGGTCGGTTCTATTTAGAGCTCCTTTCAGAATGAGCTGTTTTAAGGTCACCTTAAATCCAAATAAGCTGCTGCTAGTCATACCCCCCAACTGAACATTTACACTCACTAATGAAGATGGCTGCAAACTGATGTGCAGTTATACAACTGTACATCTTTGAAAAGCAGAAGAACCTCCTGCACAACCAACAAGAATGTAGCAAGTGGGTTTTAAATTCTAGGTTAACAAAATACTTGTTTTTCCAGCAGCCATTGTACAGAGTGCACAGTAATAGAACCAGCTCACCAAACATGCTGGAGATCCACTTGGGTTGCTAGGTAACTGGGCTGGGTATGTTTTCAAGTGCTTGGGCTGTTTTTTAGAAGCAGTTAAGATGCACATAGAAGTCTAAAAATGTGCCAAAAGTTAATTTTGCATCATGTGTCCCCTTTTAAAAAAAAGTAACTACTGGTCATGTTTAGTCAATTATTTCAACAGGAAATCTTTGAGATTTTTAAGAAAATCTTAGTTGACTCACCTTATACAGACCAGCAGTAAGTAGAGCCAGAAAGGCCAATCCTCCCAGAGATCCTCCTATAATCTCTTTAGTGAAATCTGGTTTAGGAAACACTTCTACCTCTGCCTCAATCTGAAAATGAGAGGTTTAAAAGTTTCAAATAAAACCCTTAAAGGTCTGATTGGTACTAAGACATTGACAGCAGCATTCTATCACCTGGTGAACAGGAGGGCCACTATTAGAAGTTGTAGAGAAGAAGATGTACTGGTTCTCATCGTACTCTAGACTGGCTGTACTGGTCAGGAGGAACTTGGCAGATGAAAGTCCGATCTGAGACAGAGAAACACATCAGGGATGATGAGCTTTTTTATTCTGTTTATTCTTTACATTTTACAGCCTAGTCAGTGCATCTATATGAACTTCACATCAATTACCTGTTCTATCCATCCTGAGCTGATGTTTGCAGAGATGGTGTACGTTGTGTCCTTGTTCCTTTCCATGAACTTGGAGCACCTGAACACTCTGCACTTTGCTACAGTGCAGTCCTGTAGCAAAGGTAAAGTTGCATGATATTGATTAAATGTGGGAATTTCAGAAGACTAAATGCAAAAACTGAATCAAAAAGACAGTTTAGCAAAGTATTAATTAGTTCTGTGATGTGAACACAATAAAACCTCTGATTAAATTAAAGTTGAAATGTCACATTGTGTGAAAAATATTTGGAAATTGTATAACATTATGTAAACTTTTGAGAGCTACTCCTTTATTAAGAAACACTGCATAAACACATACATACCAATATTTTCTTTTCTTTTATTGTCTTAACAAGATCAGTGACAGTAGGTTCTTCATCTCTGCTGCTCTGACAGCCTGGAATCTGAAAACAGAGCTCCATCACATCAGTTTAAGTCTTACTTATATTTAATTAGTTCTAGTTTGTAGCATTTTTCACCTGAAAGCTGCTCGTGTCCATCCAGATGTCTTTGTCACCAAGTCTTACAGGAACTTTGATCACTACAGTTAAATTTAGTGGTCTGATCGTGTTAAAAACCTAAGAGAAGTGGGAATAAAACACAAAGAACCCAAATTATATAACGACTAATGTTAAATATAGAATATATTTCTGATCTGACTGAGTGAAATCATCTTCTACCTTTATTTTTTGCTCAAGTGGTTTCTGAACAGCATTTTCTCCAAATGTGAAATTGGTGTAGCTGGGGGAGCTGAGCATACATTTCATGCATTCATTTACTAAGATATATTTAAACCATTGTTGATTTTTTTAAAATAATAAATTATTTGCTTCAACTAACAAACCTTTCAATTGTGACAAAAATACTGTACTTGACATCAATCTCCTGTTTTTTGTAGACTTCACTAGAAGGGGAGTGACGCTTATTGTCACTATAAGAGAAACATCAAATAAAAAATTAGATAAAACTTCAGCATCAAAGAGCTGCACCTTAAACTCTTGTGTTGTACCTGGAGGCGTTCGCCGTCACTTCGATCTTTCTACTAAGGTCTCTGTTGGTGTTGAAACCATAGGAGACGATGAAGGTTGCCTAAAAAGGAAATGAAAGAGAGGGATCAGAAGACTTCCTCTTCTGGTTAATAATGAATAAAGCAGCAGCACAAACTAACCATAGAGTTGCTTTTGAATATTGGTTTGTTGATGCTACAGACTGTCTTTCCTCTTGTTACGCCATCCTCACTGTCCACAGAGTTGCACTCAATTCTTCCCTGCAATAAAACACAGATCATCAGCTTGTTGCAGCAGCTTCACCAACATAGATTAATATTAGTGCCTTACTTCCAGAGGTGTAACCTTCCTGTAGGAGAGCCCAACAGGGTATGTGAGAGTAATGCGACTGTTGTACGAGTTTTCT